CTGCTGGCTGGGTGCTGGCAGGCTTGCACCTGGCACGGGCACCGTAGCCAGGCTGTGCCCCTTTAAGGGCTCCGGGGCCGGGAGGGGGGCAGACGAGTTTCCCTGGTGGTGCCCAGAGTGGCCACTAGGGCAAGCTGGGAAGGGCTAGCCTCCCACTAGTTCAAATTAAGTGGCTAAATAGCCCTTAATTCGAACTACTTAATTCGAACTAGGCCTTAGTCCTCATAGAATGAGGTTTACCTTATTCGAATTAAGTTCTCCGCTAGTTCATATTAAGTTCGACCTAGCGGTTTGCCTGTGTAGCGCCTATCAAAGTTAATTCCAACTAATGGCTGTTAGTTCGAATTAACTTTGTAGTGTAGACATACCCTTGGTCCGGCAAACTCCCTGGTCCGGGACAGCTCAGATCCCGAGGGGCTGGACCAGAGAGGTCCAACCTATATTTTTAAACTGAAACAGCCCCTATCTTTTTTATTTGTTATTTCTAAAGAAAGACAGAACAATGAGATATTAAAATGGTAGCCAGGAATGAATCTTGCCTATACTGGTACAGACTTCAGATTGGTGCTGGCATTTTAATAGCTTTGTTTAAGCAAGGAGAAAACTTAGCTAAACATTTTCATTTTTTTTAAAAAGAACAGCCTTCAAGACCCCTCAAACGGACTCACTGACAGCTGCACTTTTGACTAACAGTTTTTAGTCTTTTATGTCAAAAAATTGAAATGTCTCTTTTTTCAGCCAAACTGTTATTCTGTGTTTGACAAGGATTACCACAAAATGAAAGAAAAATAAAGTAATTTAGTCAAGTCTCCTTTTTCAACTCACTTTATGCTTCACTACATAAAATCTTCAGAATTGGGATTCTGCCCACCACCGACAAGAGCTGCTCCAGCACCCACTGTTAACCGTAACAGGTAAGCAATCCCTGTTAAGGGCTTACTGGTTAACCATTCACATTCCTACTTCAGCACCAACTCTCTACCTCATTTTTAAAATACTTACAGAAGTAACTACACATAAAATAACAGGTCAAAATAAATAAAATGATTTTAATACACAATAAATCAGACAGCTATTTTCTCTATATCCTACTGATCAATTCAGAATCCAGTCTCATGAGCATTTTTCAAATGGAAGTTAGTTATTTCACTAGACATTTCCCAATATAAGTTTAAATTCATTACTATGCACCCCATCCTTTGGTCTTAATAGTGGGATACTTTAGATAGGGTAGTAGCAGACAGAGGGCAAGTCAGGTCAAATCAGAATTAAAAAAATCCCAAAACTTTAACTAATATGAAAAAGGAAAGGAGGATTATTCTACCATGGTGAAATGAGACCATCAAGTTAAACAGATGAAATCACTCCCGATGTTATTAAATAAGCTGCCTCATTTTCTCCGAGTGATGGCAAAATTCTAATAATCTTCCATCACTGGTTGACTTATCAAACAAACCCCCATGGTTAAAGATCTAAGATACAAAGTGTTACAAGGAAGAAACTTACTTGTATAACTTAATGGTGGGCTCAACAGCCAGCATAACAAAAGGTGCCACAGTATAACAGACAGCCAGTTGAGTGACAAACCACGTGACAATGTCATAGATCACCTTGAGCGACTTTGAAGAGAGGAAGTAATGTCTGTAATTGTTCCTTATCTACAAATCAGGGAGAAGAGGGTTAAAAACCCTAAATTTCTTAGCAAACTCATGCAAACTCACTTCACAGCTACTAAATTCCCCATCCATTATTATCTGTAGTGCAGTGATACTTAGAGGCCCAAACTTACCCTTCAAAGTGTAGATGGATGGGACAGATTCAAAATGGGAGAGGAAAAGAAGGCATATGAATGCCCAAATGGCATGCCCAAGGTTCCACAGCAGGTCAGTTATAGAACTGAGAATAGATCCAAGATCTCCTGAATTCCATAACCACTAAGCAAGACTGTTTCTCCTATGGGTAATTTTCTTCTTTTTGGTTAAATCAGACTTCTGCTTATAAAAGGTTCAACTGAGAGAGGTGTTGCATTCTCTAGCAGCTGTTTGTGCCTTCAAGTATTTTGGATTTCTACAGATGTTGGTTTCATGGTAAGGTTTTTTGTTGTTACTGTTTTGGAGATGGAGTTATTTGTTTGGAATGGATCTTCATAGGAAAGGGGCAAATTAAAATGCAAAGTATTATTGTCGTACAGTATTATAGTAACTACTGTGGATTGCCAGCTTTCTTCACGTCAACCTGACAGATATATATCGAAGGTGATCCATTCTCTTCACAATGGATGTTTTTACTAGAATGACCAGCACTGATATAGTTAGTAATGCTAGGAAATTAAATTGTTATCATTGGGATCCAAAGTTAACTTTCTACTACAATGAACGGGGTCAGTTCAGAATTTTCAGACATAATATTGTCTCGTGTGAGCTATGCCTGTACAGCCTTCGACCAACTGGTGGCTCAATCCAAACTATGAGGTCAGTATTTTACAAAGTGTTATCACCATACACAGATATAATGGAAGCTCTAGATGACCAGGCAAGTGTACCCTCTAAGATTTTCCATCCGTGAGTGGAGGGAGGGAGTTTTGTCTTGTGCGCCAATACTGAGGTCATGGGTGCTTGTTTGGATGTGCCACTGTGACACCCACCAGTGGCTCTGTTCTCCTGAGAGACTCTCCTAGAATTTGCAGAGAATGAGGGGGCTTGAGCAGTGACGTGGGAAGCGACAGGAGGAAAGCTGGCAAGGGGCTGAAGGGGCAGGGGACTCAGAGCCAGAGGGCAGTAAGGGAGGGATAAGTGTGCAGGTGGAGGGAGAACATAAGAACATAAGAACCCAGTACCCTGTCTGCCGACAGTGGCCAATGCCAGGTGTCCCAGAGGGAGTGAACAGGTAATGATCAAGCGATCTCTCTCCTGCCATCCATCTCCACCCTCTGACAAACAGAGGCTAGGGACACCATTCTTTACCCAGACTGGCTAATAGCCATTTATGGACATAACCTCCATGAATTTATCTAGTTCTCTTTTAAACCCTGTTATAGTCCTAACTTTCACAACCTCCTCAGGCAAGGAGTTCCACAGGTAGACTGTGCGCTATGTGAAGAAGGAGACAGGGATGTTTTTTTAACTGTCTTCCCCATTTTTTGGATAAATTACTGGTATAGTACTATTTCTGCTACTATATGTTGCAATTTCCTTGAAATATACCAGCGATCAGATAGCTTTTTACAATAAAAAGCACATTCCACCACAGACAACTGTGCAGTGCAGGGGTGAGGTTGGCCAAGGGACCAGCAAGGAAGGGGACGCAGGAGGCTGCAACTCTTTAGGGGTGCTCGGGCAGGGGGATGGGGCAGTAGGGGGTGGCATGATGTAGTGGTCAGGCTGCAGCAGGCAGCACAGGCAGAATAAGTGCAGCTTTGGCCACTGGCTCTGGATGTGCTGCCCGCATATGCCATAGGTGACCAACAAGTTGAGCTGGGTTGCCTCCCTGCCGCACTTCGCAAGGCCCTGCCGACACTCGACCTCGTTCTCCCTGCTCCCTGTTCCATGGGGCAGCCCCCCGTCGTCACCAACGCCTCAACTGTCCTTGCGCCGCCAGAGACTCCTCTGCCAGCCGCTCCACATCCGACACCCCCAGCCCAGGAGCAGCACACCACTCACCACAGCTCCAGCTCTGACAGCCACCACGTGGCCCTGGTCCCAGCTCCAGGCGGTTACTCCTGGGGTGGGCAGCTGGGGCTGCAGTGTGGTTGTTCCGCTCTGCCTCTGGCCCCAGGAAGAGCTCCGATCCCCCCACCATGCAGCCCCAGCAGGCCCCAACCGCCTGTAATGCACACTCTGGTTCTGGCCCCAGCCGAGGCCACCGGAGCAGCTGCCGCCCGCCACGCAGCCCATAGCTCCAGCCCTAGGCTGCATGGTGGCTTCCCTGCTGCTCCTGGGATAGAGTAGCCACCTGCCAAGGCCCCTCACCTCCCTCTATGACTGTAGCCAAGTCCTGGTAGGCTGAATCAATAAGAACAATGGTGGGTAGGGATGTTAAAATGTGTCTATTCAGGTAAAACTGAAAATTTCAGAAGTTGCACATTTACACACCAGGGGGAGAAGGGGAAATGGCTCCCTGGGAGCTGGTGAGTGCAGGGAGCTTGCTTTTAAGCCATCTCCTCGACTCCGTTGCTGCTTCTGGTACCTCTTAAAAGCTGGCTCCCCATGTGCACCAGCTCCCCCCATCTGTCCCCCTGCTGTGCTACTGGGGTGGGAAGGAGATGGAAAGGGGGAGGGCCTGTGTGTAACCATGAAGATTAATTGATGCCCAGGCTCGTCGGTTAACCGTTCGCCCATATATACTATCATATCCCTAATGGCTGGTAATAATTATAGGAAGCACCCACATTTCAGTGAGGATCATCTGAAAGGAAAAAGGTATTATGCTCATGAACAGTCAACAGTGTTATATGAGGGATACAAATGGCTCAGTATGTCAAAGGGTACACAAACACCGAGCACTGAAAACTTTACAGTAATCTAATATAAGCCTCTGAAAAGAACAAGAAAGGGTACATACTGCTCTGGATGCTAATGTCATAAGGATTCCGGAAAGGAATGTAAAGTAATATCCAGGATAGATACCATGCCACAGGGCAGACAGGATAAATGTTAAGGCTGTTGGGTACCATGGAGCTCTGTCATAGCAAACACTGGGAAGAAATGAAAAAACAGAAAACAGTATATTGAATAAGTAACAAATATTCACTGCATCTCAGATCTTCTTGAATCTTAAAGACCCCATTCTGATCTACTCTATGTATTGTGGCCCAGTGCATCAAACCTTTGTTTATGTGAGGGTCAATGAGATTACTTGCCTGAGTAAGGCATTCTTTTGTGAATTTATGGTTTGCTAGATTTAGGCACTGAGGTGTCTCCAATTATCATGGATTATTGCATGAATGAGAGATGATATATGAAAGTCTGTCTCTCTCTCTCTTGCTCTCTAATTATTATCATACTATAAATATAAAATATGGCATAAGGTGGGTTCTCATTTATTATGCCAGCATTTTCTCATCTAGAACTCTCTATGTATCCTTAGAAACTTGATGGATATCAAAGATCAGGTGGGAGGATGGAAGTGGCATACCCACATTTCCTTTTCTATTCAATATTCTTTAGGCAATATACTGCCCTGATTAGTATCACAAAAGGCTAGTTTCTTAGCTAGCATAAAAGAATAATCTAATGATGATTTACAGCAGCTAAGGGTGCTCCTCAGAAGATGTAGGTGGCTGGTTCTGTGTTCATAGTTCAAAAACACAGCAAGTGGACAATATCTGAGTTTTAACTCAAAATGCAACGGCCCTAAGAAATTAACATGGTAGTTTATTTACCAAAAAGACTGTGTTTACTTTACTAATGAAGAACAATAGAAATAGCGTATTCAGATCTGCATTTTACACCAAATACCGTTAGGACAAAAAGCATACAATCTCCTCTATCGGTATGTCTAGACTACATCCCTCTGTTGGCAGAGGGATGCAGATTAGGCAGGTCGACATTGCAAATGAGGCAGGGATTTAAATATCCCATGCCTAATTTGCATAAAAATGGCCACCGCGTTTTGCGGACTCAGCACTATGTCGGCAAAAAGCTGCAGTCTAGAAAGAAAGCCTTTTTTGACAGATCCCTTATGCCTCCTGCAAGGAGGGTTACAGGATCTGTAGAAAAAGGCTTTCTTTCTCAACAGATCCCTCTCTAGACTGCCACTTCTTGCTGACAAAGTGCTGAGTTGGCAAAACACGGTGGCCATTTGTATGCAAATTAGGCGTGGGATGTTTAAATCCCTTCCTTATTTGCAATGTTGACCTGCCTAATCTGCATCCCTCTGCCGTCGACCTGCCTAATCTGCATTCCTCTGCCAGTAGAGGGATGCAGACTAGACATACCCATAGAGGGGATTGTATGCTGTTTGTCCTAATGGTATTTGGTGTAAAATGCACATCACTCAACTTGAACTGGGCTTTTCACCTACCTAAGGCATTGTTTTTCACAGTATCCGAAGACAGGACAGAGCTACAAACTATGGAGAAATGTTATGTACAGTGAACCCTAGTAATGGCAGTCTGAAATCAGATTCCTAAACACATGAGAAATTTACTTTCTGTCTCAAGATGGCATATTATAAAGACAGATCTAAACTGGCACCTGAAGTTTGTGGCGACTGGGGCTCTGCAACACACTGAAACAATAAAGTTTCAATCCGGATCCAAGCTCTTCTAAAGTTCCAATTGGAAAAGGAGTTCAGACTCACAATGTTACAATTCAGGCCCATCTCCAAAAGTAATTAATTGATTTTAAATTCAAGGGAGGCAGAGATAAAAAATGATAAAATTCTACCAAAATGATAAAAGATAGGTAACAAACATAGCACATGGACAGGGAGAGGTGCTATAAAAAGTTATTTAGGAAGAACTGTATAGCTCACTCATGACTTTGCTGCACATGAGTAAATGCAGTAATTCCAAACACATAGCAATAAAAACTTCTGAGCATCAAAAACATTGTAGCACAAAGTCCTTGCAGGGAGAAATGAAAGAGACCAAGAGGTTATTGTATATTTAGCAGATTCACCATTTAGCATTCATAGCTAACATTACTGACTTCCTGAAAGTAATTGGGTCTAACAAGATTTCTCTTACCACTTTAGCCAGGCAGCGGTCTGAATGTTCCAGTTCTCAACGTACATTTTAAAACTCGTTGCAGTCTACGAGAGAAAATAAGATAAGAACATAACAACGGCCATGCTGGGTCAAACCAAAGATCCATCTAGCCCAATATTCTGTCTTCCAACAGTGGCCAATGCCAGGTGCCCCAGAGGGAATGAACAGAACAGGTAAGAAGAAAGTTAACTTTGAATGTACAGGTACCAGCCTGTACCTGGATTTGAACCTGAAGAGGTTTACATGCAGTATGCTAGTAGTAGTAGTAGCTAGCTATAGTCAAGGTTATGTCAACATTTTCACCATAAACATGGTTTGGGATTTATACGAATTTGCTGATGGCTGACACTTGGCACTCATTTTAAATGTTCACTTTTTATTATAAAAGAAAATAAAAGTGTTTAGCTATATTTCAGATTTATGGAAAAAAAGCCCAAAAGAGGTTTTCTATTTTCAGATATTCACACCACCTCCAACCTTACAAATAACCACTTTTTAATCTTGAAACTTTGTAGTCCATTAGGTGTGTTGGAAATCCCTAGAGTGCTTTTTAAAATGAGATTTTAAAAGGAAATGTGTTATTGGGGAGAACAATAACTTCTCATCAATGAACACTGACAAGTATTTTTAGCACAAATCTTTAGCCAAATCTTTAGCCCAAAGCCCAACATAAGTAACTGAACTGGGCCATAGGAAGATACCAAGGGAGAAAAGGGAGTCAAGCCCATGCAGCAGTTACATAACCACTCAGCAGTGACTGCTTCAACCTGCTGACTCAGTAGACCCTATGTGCCCCTCTCATGGATGGAGGACCGCAGGGTTCTGTCCAACAGCAGATCTAACCCTGTTTAATCCCACATCTGTCCATGCCCTAGCATCATTTGTCCTCTGCTTCCCATCTGAGTGAAGAATTTTCTGAGGAGCTGGACTCTATACGACACAGTGGATGAGTAACAGCAGTGCAGCTCCCCAGTGATGCACTGGATTCATATCTGTTTTGTTAGCTAGGGTTCATTTGTTGCATTGTCTGGGGCTGCGCTGGATTTGTCCATTAGAGCACATACTGTCCCCTCATAGACATGGTTAGCACCCCTGCCCCATTGCACTTTACAATATCAATAACCAAATATTCCCTAAACTACACACTGATAGTAGGCTGCCAAATTTCCAGAAATGTTGACAAGTCTGTAGTGTAGAGAATCTCAACGTGAAGAAAGATGGAATAATTAAGAGATTCCCGAAATGAATTGTGACCCATTAAATCACAATGTATCCAAAGGAGCTTTCTACAATCCATCAGCTCACCAATATATACTTTAAAGAGAGCACCTTAGTGAACATTGCCTTGAGACGAGAGAGCAGCAAAACAGCCTATAGTGAAAATTAAGCAGCAAGATATCATATTAGAATGGGTTTACGGTAAAGAGAATCATTGGGGAAAACCAGGATATTCAGGAGTTAAGCCTGGAAAAAGTCAAACTGCAAGTCAACCTCTTGTGGTTAGATGTCAGAGTTCTCCAAACAATAGGGCTGTGTCTAGACTGGCAAGTTTTTCCGCAAAATCATTTGATTTTGCGGAAAAACTTACCAGCTGTCTAGACTGGCCGCTTGAATTTCCGGAAAAGCACTGACTATCTCATGTAAGATCATCAGTGCTTTTCCGAAAATATTATGCTGCTCCCATTCGGGCAAAAGTCTTTTTCCGAAAGACTTTTGCGCAAAAGGGCCAGTGTAAACAGCACAGTAGTGTTTTCCACAAAAAAGCCCCAATCGCGAAAATGGCGATCAGGGCTTTTTTGCGGAAAACCGCGTCTAGATTGGCCACAGACGCTTTTCCGCAAAAAGTGCTTTTGCGGAAAAGGAGCCTGCCAATCTAGACATGCTTTTCCGAAAATGCTTTTAACGGAAAACTTTTCCGTTAAAAGCATTTTCGGAAAATCATGCCAGTATAGACGTAGCCTGGGTGATCTAATATACCATACAGGCTGTCATACTTTAGCAAAACTGGTTTCGTGAAAAGTGGTATTTCAGCTTTGCTTTGTCGTATAGGTTCCTGTCACAAATTGAAGCTTACTTATTTACTGTTGTTTTCTTATGCCTTATGAAACAACTCTCCAAGTAAATGTTAGCTCATTATAATGTGTACTATATTCTCATTCCAGTTTTTGTAATAAGCAGAAAACCTAACTTCCTAAACAAACCTTGAAGGGGTTTGTTTTGTACTGTTTTTGTTAATGAAAACCAGCAAAACAGTCTCTTTACTGCTCATTGCTTGAAAGCACCTCCACAGTGCAGCCCTAACAAAAAGTAATGAAAGTCTCCCTGGCTATGTCTATACTACTTTATCGGGAAAAGGTATACAAATTATGCTCCACAATTCGCGTACCTTTTTCCGATATTTTTTTCGGAAGAGGCTTTTCCGAAATTTGGCCCATCTATACTGGGAGGCCCATGTGGGAATAGGAAGACAGGGCTTCTGAAAGAGCACGTCTGCTCTTCCGCAAAAAAAAGCATTCCCAGTAGAGCAGACGTGTTCCCAGTAGAACTCAGGCCATAGAATTTCCCCAAAATAATTCCCAGATAAGATCTTTTAGAAAAACATTCAGTCTCGATTTAAAAATCACCAGTGATGAGGAATCCACTATGGCCCTGGTTATTGCTCCAGTGATTAGTACGCTCATCACTAAAAATATGTGCCCTATTTTCAGCCTCAAATTGTACTGCTTCAGTTTCCAGCCTTGGAGTATTTTATACCTTCCTCTAGTAGGTGGAAGAGCTTATTAATATTTGTTCCCCATGTAGGTAATTACAGACTGTAATTAAGTCACCCCTTAACTTTCTCTTTGTTAAGCTAAATAGATTGAGCTCTGTCATTATAAGCCAGGTTTTCTAAGCCTTAATCATTCTTATGACTCCTTTTAACATCCATTTAATCAATTTAATCAACATCCTTTTTGAGTTGTGGCTACAAGAAATGGACATTGTATTCCAGCAGCATTTGCACCAATGCCAGTAGGTGGTCAAAGGGCTCTTCCAAAGCTCACAAGGTCCTCAAAGAAAGTCAAAGAAGAGTGAACTGGAGTAGGGTAGGAGAGGAGCCCCAAAAAAGTATTTGAGTGCTTTTGCAAGAGAGCAGCTAGCCAAACTGGTTGTCAAAAATGGAATACTCTCTCTGCCCTATTCTACACTAGGGAGTTTCAAAATAACTCTCCTTCTTTCACAATAAGAAACAGAGCGTCCACACTACCAAGCTCGTTATTTCGAAATAAGGGGCTGGTTACTTTGAAATACCAACTCCTGTTTTCTTTGGAGAGTAAGCTTATTTCACAATAGTTATTTCGGGAGTTATTATTTCTAAATAAGGAAATAAGCTGCTAGGTAGGACCCAGGAGAAGCAGGCTGGGAACATTGCCTAGACTCCCCCGCATCCCAGCAACAGCAGTAAGTGAACTGCACTTCCTGCTACAGTGACTCTAGAGCTGTTGCTGGGGAACCTGGGAGCTATGGCTGCAGTGGGGAGAGACCACTATTGTGGTATTGATAGACCACGAAGATACAATAGAGAGAGCTTCTAATATTGTATGAAAATAAATCTGTAGGAGAAATTAGGAATGGCCTAGTCCAGACACTAAGACATTTTTTCATGCCATTGGCACTCAGAAAACATTTATCCTAGGTGACAACAAAAAGGAAACATGTTGGTCACAGTTTATAGTAAGGGTAACTTAATAAATATTTTGCAAGGGACTAATGGAGATTAAAAGCATGTCACTAGCATGAGGAGCACGTTACAGATGTTCTGAGAAACAGTGTCATCTAAAGGATTAGGGAACTGAGCTAGGAGAAACTCTTAATTCTATTTCTGGGTCTGTCATTGACATATTATGTGGCCCTGGGCAGATAATCTCACATTTCTGTATTTCTTTCATCTTTTGCCCTCTGTCTATCTTTTCTATTTATAATATATGCATGTTGGGGCCTGGACTGTCTCTTACTGTGTATTTGTAAGGACCTAGTACAAATAAGCCCCAATGTCAGGTGGGTCCTCTAGCTGCTACTGAAATACAAATACTAAAAATAAGTAATAATGAATTGTAATAAGTAGATAAGCAGATGATGCCATACATGGTTATGAATCGTTGTATGCAATCTATTGATCTGCTGAACTCTACAATCATTCAGTTTATTAAAACACATTATTAGCACTTTATAAACTATTTACCAATGTAACCTAACATAAAGTATGACCCATACACTGTATCTATCCAGAAAATAAAATTCAAAACCATGCTAATTTGAAATACACCTTTGGCAGGAAAAAATGTACCCCCATTACTAATGAACCGCCTTATAAACACTGTTCCATAATTATACCAAGATATTGTTTCTTTCAACTCACCTCAATGTTCCATATATTTAAGTTGGATAGCAGGTCCCAATGGAAATTGCCTTGCTCATCAACACCACTGAACCCATAGCCAGCTGCATTGTTGACTGCATCAGCTGTAACATCAAAGCAAACTATTCAAATTAGACTGTGGCAAGTGTCATTTCTTTTACATATCTGTAGGACACTGAACACAATGACAATCTCAATAAACATTAATAAGAAAATTATTTAGGTAGAAAATAATCTAGAAAAGGACAATGAACAAAAAGGTTTTTTCTAATTGTTATGAAACTAAAACTACACATACCATAGTTGCATAAAAATGTAGCAATATTTGCCAGATGGTTGTACTGATGATACTGCGCTATTTCCTTGTACCTGTAAGAGGAAATACTGCAGTATCTCAAATTAAAGTTTCTGTTTTTATTAAGATTTGATAAATGTTAAGTTTTAGTGATGACTTTTGAACACCTCATATAGAAAGTTCAGTTTTAATCTCACAACTCAGTGCCTCACTTATTACCAGACTGTCTCTGCACATCAAATACTGAGAGGTACAAATAACCTACATTGCAGAGGCAAATAATTGCAAGAGCAAAAATGGAGGCTTGGAAATGTCACATTGGACATTCATCCAGCCCATTTTAACACACTAGGCTCTTTCTAGAAGCCTCATTGTTCTTTTTTATTCAAGAAGACCAGTGGAATCCCATGCATTCTTTCCCACAGAGCCCATGAGGGTTGTGTCTTGCTCTGGGTCTCTTTGATAACTGGGTCTGGATTTCAAGGATCCTGATTTTAATCTGCTGTCAAAAGCCCTTTCTCTGTGCTTACTGAGAAGACAGAGGACACTTGTTGCCTCCAGGTTTCTAAATACAGTCAAGCCTACAGATATTGTAAGGGAAAAAATGAAAACACAGATTTTCTGCTAGATTTTTCTGCCCAGTTCCATTATAAATAACAGCCCTAATCAAGAAAACTGAAGATAAAGCTGAGCTTTTCTTTAAAAAAACAACAACATCGGCATCTCTGTCTTGGGATTCAAAATTGGGCTTGGTCTCTCTCATAAAATGTTATGCGATTATGTACAAATTCAGGGAGAATTCAAATGTACAACTCAGGGATGCAGTCTTATTTAAAAGCAGTTTTTTAATCAGAAAAATATGGACCTTTCTCTTAACTTTCCACTTCACTGACAAGCTGCTGGAAACAGAGGCTTCCAAGTCTTGAGTTAGACAAATACATTTATTTGAGCATAAGCTTTCCATAGGCTGCAGCCCACTTCATCAGATGCATGAAGTGGAAACTTCAGTTTGGCAGGTATATATACACAGGCAAATATGGGAGTGTTACATTACTATGAAGAGGGCCAGTGCTAACAAGGTCAATTCAATCAGGGTGGATGTGGCCCATTCCCAACAGTTGATGGGAATACCAAGAGGGGGTTACTTTTTGTAGTAGGCTAGTTACTCCCAGCTTGTATTCAGGCCCAGTCTGATAATGTCAAGTTTGCTGAAGTCTATTTTTGAAGGTTTTTTGCACAGTAATGTAACCTTCTCATCTTTTCACCTGCCAAACTGAAGTTTCCACTTCAAGCATCTGCTAAAGTGGACTGTAACCCACAAAAGCTTATGCCCAAATAAGCCTGTTAGTCTCTAAGGTTCCACAGGACCCCTCACTGTTTTTTGTTGAAATGGACTAACAGATTGACTGCTCTGAAATTTGCCACCAAGGTACTCGCAAGGGCAATAACTGGGGCATCTGTACAGCCATACATCTTCTGACTCCATCCTGCTACAAGGGAACCCCCTTGAAGAACTGTGTTCCAAGCAGTAGGGAATCAACTCAAACAGCAATCCTACTTCTTCATCCTAGCGGAATGCTGAGACCTTCAGTCTCTACAGGCTGCACCTTCTAATTAAAGGCAAGAGTGGATGGACAATATCTGCATTCCAGTGTCTAATATTAATAGATCTATTAGCTTCAATGCAAAAGCAATTTGAGATTACTGGTATCTAATGAGATGTCTGCCATTAACTTTATTGGGGCCAGAATTTACCCCTTAGTTGGTTAGTTGTTTGGTTGGGATCCCCTCCATCTATCAGAATGTGGAATTCAGTTCTAAATGGTTTTTACTAATAAGCATTTTAAGTCTTAGTCAAGTTTACTGCTAAGTGCCAATGTTTAATACTACCACACTCAGTATTTGAATTTTCTATCTTTTCTTGAATCTGGAGGAATTCTGCAGTGTGGCTCTCGCACAATAGCCTTACTGTCCCTTTCTGGAAACAGCAACTGCTTATTGGCAGTTTTTAGATGATTATATAATGCCCTATTCCACATAACAAACAGCTTAAAAGAAAAGAGGGTGAAAACCATGCCATTTTCTTGCTTGACTCTGCAAGCATAGATAATAGAAGCCTCGCCCACCACTAGCCAGAGAATGCTTTCCCAAAACCTCACAAGATCTTTCCATAGTATACAAGATTAAATAGCATCACAAGCCCAAATGTAGTTTCCCTCTATAATAATGTGTTTCTAGTTTAACACCCTCATCCTTCCAGCTTTCTATGAATCTGGATCTATAGCCAAATAAAATAAAATATTTCTCTGAATGATTTATTATCCAAAAGCCATTTCTATTCCACATATACCAGTCCTAGCTGTTTCATTCCACTTATTTTCCTGTGCTTTATCACAGCCTTGGACTGAATGGTCAGAGTCCCTTTTCTATCCCCTTCCATGATGGTTGTCTTCCAAGTCCAGCAGATTTTGGTGATCTCTATTCAGCAAGCTCAGACTCTCTCACCTGCCAAGAGATCTCCCCTGACACACAGATGATAAGATTTAAGAAAAGTGAATGTGTAGGTAGAGGAAACGGAATGGTAAGTTGGTTTTGGTCACCAGCTGAAATAACTCTCAATATTAAATAAACTGATAGCCAAAGAAAGACATTCTCCACCCTAAAATCCAAGCCATTTACTATTCTCTTTCCTGTAGGCCTCTTTGGACTGCTGCCTTCTGGGAATGTTTGGTCTTCTTTCCTTACAGAAGTGTTTTGGACTTCCTCCCCACAATCCCTCTTAAGATCTCATCTCTACATCTCCACACACCACTGTCCATCCTGTCAACCATCCCATGTCTCCCTTTATGTCCTGCCTCATTTTCACATACATAGTAACAGCACTGAAACCTCTTGTTTGCGCCCCACCCGTGGCCCACTAAGAGCGGAGAATGAAACCCACTAGCTGACATCAGTCTCACTTGGAAGCTGTTGTTCCAGACAATGGACTGAAAAAGAGGTCGTCTATATCCAAAACATGGAAAAAGATGGCATCCATTTTCAGGGAGGGAAAAAAAGAACCCTTATTCCAAGTTCTCACTTAATAAATATGGCCTTAGCAGGTGTAACTATCAGTAGCTTTGGAGGAATGTAAGTGTTATTCAAATATTTTGCAACAGCAGACACTTCTCTTGGGTGAACAGAGATTGTCTTTGCTTTTACTCTGCCTAGGATTTGTTCAAAAGCCAAAAGGCTAATGTCATTTAATAGAAGGAAGTAGTATGTCGCTTAGAACCAAAACTTAGGTTTTGTTAAAGAAAACAATTTAAGGCGTGAGATTTACAAGGGGGTCTTGTGTAGGTAGTTTACTAGGTAACCCCGCAAGCTGCCTTGGGCCCCATGCATAGGACTGTTGATGCAACTGTCACAGGACCTCCTAAAGCATGGGGCTGGGCAGTGCCCCAAACAGTCCTATCGACGGGACAGCTCTGTTGATCAACCACACACTTCATTTGGAACTGGAAGTAGACAGCAGCGGAGACTAGGGATATAAGCGACTAGTCGAGTAATCAACTACCCGATAAACCTAGGCTTATTGGGTAGTCAAGTCACTACTCGACTAGTCAGTTCTCCCCTGTCTTGCTGCCTCTGTATCAGAGGCAGCAAGGGAGGAGCAGAAGCCGGTGCTGGGGGGACAGAGGAGGCAGAGGCACAGCAGGGGACCAGGCACCTATCAGCTATCACAACTCGCGCCTGGTCCCGCGCTGCGCCTTTGCCCTTTAAATGTAGTAAGAGCCTCCTGGGGGAGGGAGCTAACTCCACTGCAGCTCTGCAGGTGTCCCTCCACCCCCCATTGACTAAAAAAGGAAAAGTGTAAAAGATTTGACAAGATAAAGACACTGTTTCTGTACTTGTTCCATTTAAATTATGATGGTTAAAAGCAGCATAGTAAAGCTTCACAGCTGTATTAAGTCAATATTTAGTTATAAACTTTTGAAAGAATAACCATCATGTTTTGTTCAGAGTTACAAACACTTTAGAGTCACAAAAATTCTTGGGCTGTTTGTAACTCTGAGGTTCTATTCTATCAACATTTATGACCAGCTAAAGCCCTTGACTATCCATTTCCATAGCAGCGACTATCCATTATCACACCAGCGACTGCTGCTAACCTTACAAGTTTATTTGTCCAGAAAAAGTTGCTTGATTCAGGTGAGTGGATGAGAAGATGACTGATTAGCCAGGAAGTTTTACACTTGAGCATCTGACAGTGCTATTCCTCATCCTATGCATGTAGGTGAGCTACATGAGAGAGAGAACTCTTTTTCTGACTTATGGCTGTTCTATACTCATGTGCATGGGGAAGGCAATGCTAATGGTAGATTAGGCCACTCCAAACCATCCTCGTCTCCACCCGCACCCTGCTTCTTTCACCCTTGCAAGTGAGGGTGTGGACTGCCAGGGACAGAAGCTGGAGACTGAATGAGGCTAGGTCAGGAGTGGGCAAGAGGCTGCCAGTGGGCCAGATCTGGCTCGCAGCCACCTCGCCAGAACCCTTAGGCAGAGAACAGCTCATGCTTTAAAAGCCAGCTGTTCTCCATTCCAGACATCTGGGGCGGGAAGAGGGAGACTTCTCATTCTGTTCCCACCCCTCACCAAAATCTCTTAGCTCCTATTGGCCAATCTCTCAGTTTCCAGCCAAAAGGAGCTAAGAATTTTTGCTGGGAGCAGAGACAGTGTAGGAAGCCTTCGCCTACCTCCTTAGCCCCCTCCTCTTTTCCCTCATACCTAGAGCAGAACCACATGGTGCAGCCTGCAGCAGACAGTCTGCCTCAGGTTTCTGCTGGTAAGCGCCTCCCAGTCAGAACCTGCCTCTGGTACTCCAGCTCCCCCCTTCCCTAAATCTCTGCTCCCCCCTCCACATAATCAAACCCTCTGCCTCCTCTTGCACCCAGACACCCTCCCAAATTTGGCACCCCAATCTCCTGCCCCAGACCACAATCCCCTCCTACCCTAGGTCACATCCCAAAATCCTGCATCCCAGTCCCCTGCCCTTGGTGATAACTGCCTCCTTCACCCAAACTCCCTCTCAGACCACATTCTCCTTCCTGCATCCCAATCCCTTAACCCAAGATCACTTTCTGCACCCAATCTCCATCCCAGACTCCGGAATTTCTCCATTAAATATCCTGGAAGTGTGCGGCCCTGAACTACTTTCTAAAATCCTGGATTAGCCCCCTGTCAAAAATTATTGCCCACCTCTGGGCTAGGTCCACATATAAACATTGTACCAGTACATATGGCAGTTAAGGGTTTAATTTTCTACCAATATAATCCCACTGGTACAGCCCTATTATGGATGCAGTTATGCTGGTATAAAGGTACCTCATGCTACCATCACCTATTTCCTAGTATAGTTAAAGCAGGACTACTTTTAGCTATAGACAAGTCCCTAAGCAAGCATTATTGTACAGAGATTCCTATGGCTTCAGATAGGCTGGTTCACTTTTATTAGCTTTGTAACTACGAGGGTGATCACAGGTGCCAAGAGTCCCCATCTGCACCAAAGAAGTAAAGGATTAAGGCCGAGGAATACAAATCAGGACAAAGGGTACAATCTTTTCTTCTTAAGTATTAAGGATACTGATAAAAGTAACTGAGGTACGATTAACAAAGGTCAAGTGCAAGGGGAAGGTGTTACATACACACTCCCGCACTCACACCGGTTATATTACACATCTAGATCCCAGAGGTCACATATTCCTCACTAACTTCAATGAAGCTATGATGACTGACAGCAGCTGAGGATCTGTCCCCAAGTCCTGGAGCGGAACAGTTTGAAAGCAGATAAAATTTCTGGTCTAAACTATTTGATGGTGTCCTTTTGAGACTGATAGTCAATATACTCATAGCATCCCAAATCACTTTCCTTGTGCAACTGGCAGCATACAGTTGGACTGCTGCACCCACACTGCCTTCAGCAGGGCTCTGCACAGATCCAGGGTGCTGTGGAAATTGCAGGATTGGGCCCAAAATATAAAAGAATAATTGTTTCATGACAATTTCATATATCCCACTGTTCATGTATTAAATTTATCTGGACACAAAATAAGCCATTTAGTCATCCTTACCTAATGTCCATGCAAAGTAATATTTTGGCTTCGATGCTTGCATAACGATATACAGGTAGCCAAGTCTTGATAAGAAGGATGTGTTATTGATAAACTGGCTATCAACAATGTATGTGACAGGGTAGGTCTTGGTAAGTGTCAAGAACAAAAGGAGAGATACAAATGTGATACACAGTTTGTATATCACAGCTCCCTGAAAAGCATAATGAATAATAAAACATAGATGTGATCATTTATCAGAATAGACCAAAAGCAAAATAATGCTTCCCCCTTAAGAATAAATTGACTAAAGACCCAACGAGACTGGTAACAGCTAAGAATAGCTTCCTTAGAACATAAGAACAGCCGTACTGGGTCAGACCAAAGATCCATCTAGCCCAGTATCCTGTCTGCTCACAGTGGCCAGCACCAGGTGCCCCATGTGTCCTTTTATCATAATTAATTTGTAACAAGGACCAGCTGGTACAATGAATCAGTAAAAGCCATGCAAAGTTGGCTTTAACATATTTTACTAATTAATTTTACGGAAAGAAATTAATGAATTATTCAGACCCAAAATGGGCCATGTTCTTTCACATAAGTGCCCTACATTCACTTCTGGAAGTGCTCTGAGCGGAAAGAGAAGAAAGCTGGTAAACAGAGGGTTTTCCTGCCTGTGCAGATATGCAAAGGAAATGAATGTTAAATTCCTGCTAGGAAAGTTATATTGATAATGTATCTTGATTCCTACATCACACCTATCAACGTATCTGAAAGTGACCTTCAAACGACTTTGACAGATACTGTCCTGCACCTCACCTACGAAATATATTTTTAAAAAATGTGTAGTCAGTGCCCTTGTACTTCAGAAATCAGAATTACAGGTGTAATCTATGTTAACTGGCTTTCACATATTCATTGTGAGTAAAACAGATTCACTCATATATTCATATTGCAAACAGGTGAATCTGTAGACTCCTGATATCATGAGAATAAAAAAATATACAATGTAGTATGTAAACACTGATAAAACTAACTCGCTTTTAGTCCCTACATACTTTTTTCATATGCACTGCATATACAGTAAATTTTAGTAAGTCATTTTAGAGCTTAACTTTTTACCGAAAAATACGAATTTTTTCTATACTGAATATATATATTTTATTTAAACATAATTGACACAATAGGGGCCTCATTCTGACTTCATTTGCACTGTCAGGAAAATTACACCAGTGAGAAATCAAGAGGAGGTTCTGTATGCATATATACTCCACTTTCAGTGAGAATATGCAGAACCAAAAAAATCTGCTCTCAGTCACGAAGGTATAAATCTAGTCATTCCAATGTCACAACAGAATCTGACCCATGCATTTTTCTGCAATACTTGTGGGAGTTTTACCACTTACGGGAGTATTTGAATTAGTATTTAATAATACAACACAAAACTGATAAAGTCCTTGCAATGGATTTATATTTTTCAGACTTAAAAGATGGCTTCAAAGATACCTTAAGATAATCACCAGATAATCACCAGATTTCCTTGCAATGCAACTGGGCAACTGACAGTAATTAATCAATTATGATTCCTACATCAAATGTGTCCTCTACAATACAATAGCTTTTTCAGCCTTTTTTCTTTCGTCTAAGTCTGAATTACAATTAATTATTGTCAGAATCTACCGGATGTTTCCACTGTGAACGGAGACACTTACACATACGATGTTCACCCAACAATGAATTGTTATGTGCTCCTTCGAACAAAGGGAAGATGCCAACCCCTACTGTCTAGTTTTATTATCAACACAAACTGCAGAAAAAAAGTATATTTGCTGACAGGATAGCACCAAAAGGGTTTAATTGTTTGGTTTTAAACTAGGTGCAGCTTTTAGTCAGACATGGAAAGCAGTATCCTTTAGTCCTTTGCAATAAATAGTATCTGACGAAGGGGGTCTTTGCCCACGAAAGCTTATGCTCCTACACTTCAGTTAGTCTATAAGGTGCCACAGGACTCCTCGCCGCTTTTGCAATAAATACTTGGCTTTTCTCAACTTACAGTTGGAGAAGGATCAGGAAGTCTGTCATAACCCTTTTGCTTCCAGTTCACTTCTAAAAGTTTCATATGCACATGCCTCCCTTCAATGAAGGCTACATAGTCCTTGTAATTGCTGCAAGGTCCAGCTATGATACCCATAAAATTGAGAAGATAGCTCAAATACTCCAGTAAAGAAGGTCTTGTTCTGTCAAAACATCCACACACAAAACAAAATTAGGTAAAATATAGCAAAATGTTTAATGGGTACTTTAGAGAAGCTTTTTTAATTACATTGTGTAATATAACTATTTCACCATCTCTATGAATTATTATTCAAAGTGTATTTTAAACTTTACATACAACTGAACCTCAATCAGGAGTATATTTTTAAATCCAGCACAAAACAATGTGTCACGGTTATATAAACCTCCTTACAGAGAGATGACTATAATAGTTCCATCATCTAATAATTAGGATAAATTTTCCAATAGTTCACAATTAAACCTTGAAAACTGAGGAATGAATTACTTTGCCCCTAAGCAAAGCTTAAAATGTAGTAAGCCCAGGGATCAAAGTTAGTTACTGCTGTAACTTTCAGCCTGCTCAAAAAGGATTTCACTTTCAACCTGCAATTGGAGTGGAACTAAAACCAGATTGGAAAAAAAAATGCTTGTGATAGATAGGCAGCAGCAGTCTTCTCTCGGTAAACAGTGAAATCTGTACTATCAAAATTTGTATTTGGAAGGTGCAGAAATGAAGGAGAAACATACATCAGTATCCAGAAACTACTGGTAATAGGATAATAAAAACAACAGCATTTGAAGTGTCAGAGGCAAACTTCAATCTTGCTGTTTTAACATGGGTTAGTGCTTTGATGTAGGTTTTCGGAAGGGAGGAGTATTCTAATGTGCGAAATAGCAGAACACAGTGAAAAAGCAAACACAAGCCTACAGAACCAAGCAGCACAGCCTTATTAAAAGGCCCGGTTCAGTAAAGTATTTAAGCAATTGGTCTACTCTAGGCCCCTGTGATGGATAGGAATAGTGCTGGCCAGCACCCAGTGACTAAAGGGTTAAACTTAGGCTACGTCTACACTGCACAGTTATTTCGGAATAAACTATTCTGGAATAGTAATTCCGAAATAGTTTATTTCAAAATAGCATGTCAACACTTCAGGGAAGCCTCAAAATTAGTCCAAGGCAGGCTTCCCTGATGTAGATGTGCTATCTCAATTTAGAGTCCCAGGAGAAATGACTTAGAATGGCTCTGGTGAGGGGGCTATTTCGAAATAGCAGAAGAGGAGCATCTACACACGCCTTGTTTCGAAATAGCTATTTTGGAATAGGTATTATGCTTCATAGAAGTCAGAATAAGCTGTCCGTTATTTCGAAATTATTTATTTCGGTGACGGCCGTTATTCCGAAATAATTTTGCTGTGTAAATACACCCTTAGGTAGCTAACGGGAGTGTTGGCAGGGGGCCAGAAGAACCAATGGGATACAGTGCTGAAATCTGAATTGCATACAGATACCTTGCCTGCTCTTTTTGTGTGAAGAAATTCTAAGTTAAGTGCTAGAGGGAAAAGATGCAGTAATCAGTTTTACCATGCCTATAAAAATATTGGACATGGGAGTGAACTGGGCCTTGAAGTACAGATCAGCATGGATCGTGAGTAGGAGGGATAAGGTGTATAGTAAAACTCCAATTGTCCAGCATCCAGTGATCCGGCACTTCTGATAGTCCGGCACCAACTGGAACCCAGAAGTGCTCCGGCCAGCCAGACAATTGGAGCTGCTCTGCCCCCGTCTTCCCCAAGTCTGATGCTGGTCAGTTTCAGCAGCGGTGAACTTGGGGAAGCCCTGGGGCAGAGCACCCCAGCTGCTCTGCCCCCGGCTTTCCCAAGTCTGCTGCTGCTGAAACTGACCAGCGGCTGACTACAGGAAGCCCGAGGCAGAGTTGCTCTGCCCCGGGCTTCCTGGAATCAGCTGCTTCAGACCCCTCATAGCCCCCCTTCCAGTACTCCGGCATATCTGATAATCCGGCACTTCCTGGGTCCTAAAGGTGCCGGATTATCGGAAGTTTACTGTATTTAGTCACGATTAGGGTATTTTTTTTTGTTTTGGCTGTTTGGCTAAACGTCTGAGCAAAATCTATGTGCTTTTCCTCCCCTCCCCCCGCCTCATTCACTATCTAAATTGTACCTAGAAAATCTGCGTGTACTCTGTTTTAATTTGTTTTACTCAGTTGCTCTGTAACAGCTAGCAAAGAAATATGCTTTATCAAGTATATCTTTTTGTTTTATTAATAAAATCACCTTTTTTAAGACAATGATTCTTGTGTCCTGAAAGGAAACAGGAGGTCTCTGTGTGTGTGTATGTATATGCCTGCTAGCCTGAGAGGTCAGCTATCAAAGATACAGTTTGTTTTCTGCACCTTTCGTTTCTTTTTTCAAGATCTCTTGTGGCAGAGGAGCTTGGGGTATCCCTGGGGAAGGAAGCCCAAGTGATTCCTTCCTGGGTTCAAGAAGAAAGGGATTTGTTTCACTTGGTGGTGGCAGCTAACCCCTAAAGTCAATGAATCTGTGATTCTGGGGAGGTTTTGTAAGCAGAAGGTATTTAAGGTCTCTTGCAGGCCCCCATCTTCTGCACTCAGAGACACCCTGACAGCCCCTCATTAAAGCTAATGGGATTTAAGCATGTGCTTAAGCACTTTGCTGAATCTGGTTCTAAACCAGTGTTGGGCTTTCTTGATGCATTGTTCAGTCTGGGGGGTGGAGGGATGAATGAAGAACTGAGGTATGGTGGTTGGGTTGCCAACATCACAAAAGGAATTACCTCAATAAGTACTGAAGTATCCACCCTTAGCACTGCATGGATTGCAGGCAGTACCTACATTAGCAGAGGTGTTTTTCTTTTTAAGTAGCACATGACTGGGGAAAATCTGGCTCCAGACACTGAGTTAGGGATACGTTAAAAACCACACAAACCACTATTACTTTGATGAGGTTAAAGGGATACTGAGTGAAAAAAGTAAATGCTTACTTTATAGCAAGCCGATTTTGCTCAGCAGTGAGGTCCTCCGCTTGTCGACCTAAGCCTAGCAAGATAAATAATAGGCATTACACCACAAAAATCAAATGAGACTCTTCCAAAAATAACCACAGAAAATTATCCCAAGCTCAACCTTCAATGCTATAGGCAACTATTGTAGAATTGAACATCAAAAAGCCTAGTTGTGTTTCATTGTTACCAACAGTAATAACTTGAGTTCATTTTTCCATCCTTTAAGTCAAGCATGCTCATCCTCAGAAAACTACACTGAAGTACTGAAAATAGGCACTTT